CCCCTACTGATGGATTTGCGCTAATCCCTTGAGTACCTGCTTCGGCATCAGCACGAGGTGGTCATTCTCAAGGTCATGGCAGGAGAGATTAGCATAGCGGCAGTTTATGATTGATGCACAGAAGGCCTACAAGGCTACAGACATTGTGGAGAATCGAGAGATGGCACTCATATCCACCGCGTCTTTTGAACACCTACATGTCACAAGGTCTGGTCACTCTTCGGTGTTTGGCATCAACACAATCCGTGTATTGAAAACCATCCAGTAACTGAGTTTTATTTCGACATATGAGATGTGTCTCGTCGATTCCGTTGCATATACAGCTTCGTCCCCCTAGAGTTATCCACTGCCTCTCCGGCGAAGTAGCAGTTAACTTCCTATTCACAAGCGACTTCATCGAACGCGCTCAGTTGACGCATAAGTGCCTAGTGCATTAACTACCGTCATGACTTAGGAGAAAAAAAACGCTTATCTTCAGGCAAGGCCTATATTTCACTGTAGACAGTCACATGGGTTATGATGCAGATTGTTGTGTCACACTCCATCAACGTCCACTATGCTTCATTCAGCAGTGACACTATCTCCCGCATATACTAAAATAAACACTCAAACAACTGCTCCTACTCGTGGTTATTAAGAATGCCACGCAAATATGCACTAAAACCTGTTCCACATACCTTTTCCCAATTAGCTGGGACAGCAAACTAAAAATGCAAGGAATGGGCGCATACACATACACACACCAGTTATTCGGAAAACAAGAGGCACGGCGTATTACAAAAAACGGTAAATTTAGTCAATGGTATGAGCAGATGCTAATGAGCAAGAAATCAATCCTGCCAGCATTTCATATACACCGGTCCTGAGTGAAAGCATTTCAACAACCAACAGTGGCAGTGGCAGAATTAGCCTAAAGCGTCATTTAACAACTACACAAACGGTAAAGAGACAGACCTCATCCAAATGGATGCATTAAAAACACGTAACATAATGCTATGCAAATACATATGGAGTCATGAGCACTTATAATATGGCAGGTTTCCACTTACACATATAGGCGCATTCTTCATTCGCATTGACGACTCGTCCTTTCCGCCCATGACGTCACGAATTCAGGGATCACCACACCACACTTTGTAGAATTCCAACAGTTTTAGCGAAGACTCATTAGCGAACACTAATCACCAAAATGCACTTTGCCATCGGCACAGCCTCGACGACATACGCATCCCTTGCAACCTAGCCGAGAATAGAGCCGGTACACCACATTGCACACTTGGCTCCGTTTTTCCAAGTCGAATTTGAAGTTCCTTTAGACACATCAGCAGCTGCGCCAACAACCTTCGACCCGACTAACATCTCCGCACCTGTAAAAACACAACGAGATGTAGAGAAACGATTTCAATCATGGTGTAATTCTGTGACAAGCCTGCCAAACAACTTAGTAGATTGACCTAGAACGCACGTCGACGTATAGATTGTAGGAAAATAACTACCATCTCGGCTTGCGTTTGTTCAAAGCATAATTGCTAAATTTGC